TTACTAAAATTCACAGCAATTTTCATAATTTCATTGTTTTTGTCAGAACAAAGCAGCCCCCGTGACTGGCCACTAATCACCATGATTAATGCCCACACCTTCCTTATCTTCAGAAAAATGATGTGTGGAATTCATTGTTCTGAAATTGACTTTTCATGAAACCGATTTTCATGAGTACTTATAATCTGCCTTTTAGCACAGGGATATTTTAGTTCAGAATTCGTGAAGTGAATCTCTACCTGCTTATACAACTACTTCATTTCTAAGAAAACTAGAAATGTCTTTAAAAGAAAATTAGGCAGGGAAGTTATCTTATTACTTAGTCATTTTGTTTAGCCTTACGGATATTATTCAAGAAAACACAGTCTGACAGCCAGGCATGGTGGCTCGTGTCTGTGATCCCAGAATTCAAGAGGCCGAAAAGAAAGGTTACCAAAAGTTTATGTTCAGCTTGGGATACAAAATGAGTTCTAGGCCAGCTAGCTATAGGAAGGCCCTACCTGAAAACAATTGAACAGGCCACACATAATCTCTTTAGACATTGTCTTAAGGTTCTAATTGTTTGACTTCAAAGCTACATTTTAAATCTTCCTGTCTCTGTCTTCCTTGGAGCTGTGTGTTATCAAAATGTGTTTGTTACAAAATGCCCTTTAGATGTTGTACATGGAGACCACATTTAGAGAACCTGAGGAGTAAGCTTCAGGAGAAATTGTGTTCTTTGTCCTCAGTTTTGCAGCACATAGATGTCCTCAGGCATTGTAGAGCAATAACATCTGACATTGATCAAATCCCCTGGAACTTAACAGTACATTCTGCTTTGCTTAGATCTTACAGATCTACTGTGGACTGGAACTCATAGAGATGAGCCTTAAATTTAACCAGTTGTCATGGAGTTTGAAGATGGAGGTCTGTTAGTTAGTTACCTTTCCAAATGATGGGATAAAATGCCTGCACAACTCAAAGGTTTATGTTGGCTCACAGTTTGAGGGGTCACAGTCCTTTGTGCTAGGGAAACCATAGTGAAAGGACCCAGGCATCTCCTGTATTGTTTCTGTCTGCATGAAGCAAAGAGTGCCGAATGCTAGCGCTCAGCTTGGTCTCTCCTTTTTATTCAGTCCAAGATCCCCAGCCAAAGAATGAAGCTGCCACATCCAGTATGGGTCTTCCCACCTTATTAACCCAACATATGAACTCCCTCACAGACAATCCCCACGGATTTGTTTCCAAGGAGATTCTAGATGTGTCTGATTGTCAAGCAGTGGAAAGTCAGGGCTTTTGGTGAGGATACATTTGAGGGAGATACCGAGAACATGGCCTCACAATAGGCTGAGTATCCACAGAAGAGGACGCCGAGTAACAGCTTCCCCATGTGAGGACACGTTCGTCGTTTGTTTGCGCATAGTATTGTGCTAGTTACTTTTCTTATTGCTTTGATAAAATCCCACATAAACAACTTACGGGCCTGTCTCTGCCTCCTGAGTGCTGGGATTAAAGGTGTGTGCCACCACTGCTGAGCTTTTTTACTTTTTAATGTGGCTATGAGAAAGTATACACAGGCTATGTTTCTATTGGAAGGGTTACTTTGAATATATGATTATGTATATGATATATTTAATATATATACATTAATTCTGTGTCAGTTGTGATCAAATAATGGTTGACTAGTGGCCTGATCAATTAAGTTAACAGATTTATTTAAGAACATTGTATGAACTTTAAAATGAGCATCTCCATTTTAAAGCCTTCATATCCTCTTAGAGTCTGATCTCCACAAATCCTAAATTAAATGGTGGCTGTTAAGCCAGTCTTTGGAAATTAAAGCCCTGGAGGGAAAGCCTAAGGGATTGCGAGAAATGCTTTTGGCAGCGGGGAGGTGACACTTTTGGATGAGAAGAAGGGAAGGCTTTCTGCGGCAGAGGAAGGCGACCTTTGCACGTGTGTTGTTGCTCTCTTTCCCCCCAAGCACGGAAAGGTGGTCTGTAATACGAAGACATTGTTACTGAAAAAACATTAATTTAGGTAATGTTTCTTTGTAAAATCAAAACCATATTTTTCCTCTGGCATAGGAATTCTCACAGGCAAGGCAGGGAATTAAAAAGCAGAGGAAGACTTCTGGATAAAATATCCCAACTGAGGTCATTAGTAAAAGCCAGAGGCTTCTGAATTCATTAACCCAAGTGTATCTGGATGGGAACAGTGTGTGCTGTCAGACGGGTCATTAAGTCAGAGCTGCCTAGACAGTGCCTCTCCGTAGGGCTCAGGAGTACAACTGGTAGGGTGGCTTGGGCATGTGCCCCTTGTTCACAGGATGCCAGGGTAGCTCTGCATCAGTTTAGGTGCCTTTATCTTCTCACATCTTTCCATCTTGAGGAAATACACGTCTTTTGAAAAATCCAGTTAGTATTTCCGGCACCCAGCCAATGTACATTGTTATACAAATAGTAATACCTGTTTATGTGATCTAGAAATTTTAGGACTATAAAGAGGATTTGAAAGAATTATATTTTGGATGGGGACTATCTTAACATTTAGTGTAGAAAAAGAATAAATGTGTATATAATACATAGTTATATATCTATCTGATATATGTTCAAAAGTATATATGCATATCTATTTGAATGGCTTGAATCTGAAGTGCCCTGGAGGCTTGAATTTTGGGTGCTTATTTTCTGGATGCTGGTACTGTTTTGGGAGGCTATGGATACTATAGTAGGTGAGCATGAATGGTAGAAGTAGGGCCTGGAGAGCAGGCCTATGAAGGTTAAAGGCGGGACCTGGTTTGGTACTCCCTTTGCTTCCTGGGCCACAGTGATCTCAACAGTTGCTGTAGTTCATTGCCAAGGACCGACCACTCTACCTTGCCTTCCCAGTCACAGTGGACCCGCAACTGTCTGATACAGTGAGCCCAGATTGGCCCTCCCGCCCTTAAGTTGTTTATGTGCGATTTCATCAAAGCAATAAGAAAAGTAACTAGCACAATACTATGCGCAAACAAACGACGAACGTTTAATAAAAACATCAGACAGAGCCTCACAGTTTGTCAGTACATACACACACACAGACACACACACACACACACAGAAAGATAGAAAATTATACAGAATTCATACCTTTATTGAGTGTATGCTAGAAATGATTCTTGGGGACACTTCCTCCTCCATTACAGTCTTCATTATTGTGGGTGCTGTACATGTAACATCCAATTGATGTCAATGTTGACCTCCTGGGCTGGTCTATAATGAAAGGGCAATCTCTGAAAAGTTTCCTACTTCCTAACAACACCCTGTGGACGTTGATCATCGTGGCACACGTACAGGGAAGCATGCGTGCCTTTTCAAAAGGCATTGTTACTGGGGAGTCAGCGGTTAGACACAAACATCCTGATTAGACTTCTCTGAATATGTCTATGCCTTAACAAATGGGCAATAGAAAGTGCTTTTTTTTTTTTTTTGGCTTTTCAAAGCTAAAAAACCTTATTGTTCATTAAACTCATTCAGCTTTCATGCTTCAAAACAAACTACCCTGATTTCCCAGAAAACCTAAATGTGCTTGTCTCAAGTCTAGGACTGTTTGAAGTTTGAGTGCTGGGCGCTGTGCATCTGGTTTCCTGAAGTTGCCAAGGCTACATGAGGACACACCAGCTTACCTGCCTCAGGCACTTCTGGGACTTGTTGGCTTCCCTGGAGCCATAAAAGTTTTTTTTATTGTTCTTCTACATATATCATGCCATGAACTGTGTGGCCTTCTGGGACTTGAGCTGCTTGTAAAAAGACACAACATTTTTGTTGGCTGAGGTGCAGGGTGAGAATTGCTCACCACTTTTCTATAGCAACTGGAGACCTCTTTTGGGGTCACTGGTTAACCCGCACCAAGGGCAGTTAATGAACCAAGGAAGGAAATGCTAGCATCACATTTAAATATGTGAACAAGGATTTCTGAGAGCAATGGACAACCTAACCAGGGTGGGAAGACCGAGAGCCAGGGTAGGAAATAGCAAGTGCTTTGTTCTTTTCCAAGGCACACACAACTCATCGCTATCCATGGAAACAAAATAATCCGGAGTGAGCACCTTGAGTAAGGCAGAGGTTAGAAACCCTTGGCTCAACTCTCCCTCGGCAGTCTTCATTGAGTGGGCAAAGAAGTCTCTCTGAAGAGAGGCCTGCTGGCTGTACTGTGAGAACTTTGGTTGCCTGTGCTCATAACCACTACCATATATTTCTGTCACTGTATTAAACATTTAAAAAATTGAACTCCTAAGTGATATAAAATCACAAATTTACTAAAGTCAAATACTTAAGACTCGGTGCTAGCATATATGGATCATGGTCTTTTCTGTGAGGTAAGTTATGATATGTGCTGGCTAGTTTTTCACGCTAGCTAGAGTCATCTGAGAGGAGGGAACCTCAACTAAGAAAATGAATCCATGAGGTCAGTCTGTAGGTAGGTTTGTGGGGGCATTTTCTCGATTAATGACCAATGGGGACAGCCCAGGTTTTGACAGTGGAACAGTCCCTGGGCAGGTGGTCCTGAGTGTGTAAGAAAACAAACTGAGAAAGCCAGGGGCAGCAAATCCCAAAGCAGCACTCCTCCATGGCTTCTACTTCCGGAAGTTCCTGCCTTGAGTTCTTTTCCTGACGTCCCTCAGTGATGAAGTGTGACCTGAGAGTTGCAAGCTGAATAAGCAATTCTTTTCTTCCATCCCAAATTGTTTCCCGCCATGGCATTTACCACATAGAGCCAGGGCACTAGATGTTTTTCTTAGTAAGTCCCACTGAATCCTAATGGCTGCAACTGTACCCATTGGCTTAGCTGAAAGACTAATAAGCCAATAGCACCATCTGGCCTTGGAATCAGCAGATCAAATATCCAATCCCTACTCTTTTAGGCATTATTTGATAGAGAGGAATCACAGTATAGAGATCAACAATTGTTCAAGGCATCGTTCTGTTCCTTTGGCTGTATAGAAGAATCATTTATTGCAATAATTACATCAGATAATGTATCGATAAACTCACATTGTTTTGGAAGGTCACTTGTCAGAAAACCAAGAGCAGAATTCCTAGTTGAGGCATCCATAGAAAATTGAACAGGAAATAGAAGTGATTTTGAATCCAAGACCTGTCTTGGATCTTTATGAGTTTTAGAGAATGTACCCTACATTGAAATCTTGGTGCAGCTAGTATCTTCTCTGTTTTGTGTTGGCTACCAACGGTCTTGCTTATTGTTTACATTTGCAGATTTTAAAAATAGCCATTCTGTCCTGATGGATAGGGATTTGTTGATCTTAATATGTCCCAATAACCAGTCTGTGGGTGGGACAGCCATGGGACCGGTCTGTACCCATAAGTCATTCTGGAGAAGTCATGAAGGGGGCTGCCTTTTTGTCTGTGTCAGGTGACTGGTATAATGACTGATTTGTCCTGCAGTCCTAGGGAATTGCATGTGGTAGGTCAGATCTACATCACTCTATGTTCTGGTTACATTCTCCACCATTGATGGGGCACAGATAGGGAAGACAAACTGTTCTTATGAACAAGTCTGGTCTGTAGAATGAAATTCAGACACCGTCTCCATCCATGTAAGACTCAGTGCTCTTATATCGTTCCTCTGAGAACTACAAAAGAGAGGGATTATTGTATAGGTGAATAACAAAGTATAACCCATATTAGTCAAGGGTTCAAGTAGGCAATGCACTCTTCCTGCAAGGCTTATCTTTCTCATATAGAGGTGTTCACATTCTGGCAAATTAAAGGTGGTTGAAGTTGGGTAGGAAGCATATGTGGCATCTTGGGGAGATCCTCCAAGATCACACCTTGCGCCATAGCTTAGCCATTGGGGAAAGAAAGGAGTTCCCTTAGCCTTCATTTCCCCGCTGTCCTGTGTTAATATCTGCTGTGTTCTGAATGTGTCCTGTCCCCAACTCGGGTGTCGAAAGCTTAATCCCCACTGCAACACTGTTGGGGGTGGGGCACTTGGGGAAGTGTTTGGGACACCAGGGTTCTGCCCTAGTGAATGGACGGTTCTGTTGCAGAAGGGCTTGATAGTTTCCCTCTGCCCCTTCTGACTTCTGACATGAACACAGGAAAGACCATGACCGGGCACCACATCCAGGCATCTTGGCCTTAGATTCCCTAGCTCAAACCCACAATACATATCTTTTCTTTGTAAATTACACAGCTTCAAGCGCTTGTCATGGCACCACATGGACTAACCAACATCTCGCGGAGCTGTTTTGCCAAACATTTTATGAAGGAGGTATGCATATGTGCATATGATTTTTAAAAAAAAATACATTCTTGAGATAAAGCAAATAAAGGGGCTCCTAAACACACCCAGTTTAAAGATACATAAATTGGGGCCCAAAGAAGTTAGGTCCTTTGTTGAAGTTCAACAAGCTGCTCGATCAAAGCTGAAACCAGGTCTCCAGCAAGCTCCCTCCAAATTGCTCCACACTTCTCAGACGCTGCCATTGAGAAAGTTACCCCCACTCTGTAGAGTTAGAGCTTCTACTTGTTTCCAGTGAATTAAATATATCTTTATAATTAGACTGAAAATTAATGGGAAACTTTTTGCTTGTTTTCATGTCATTGTTGATTGGACAGGGACACATGCCTTGTAACCGGGGGTGAGGGTGGAACTCGTATTCTAGCTGTCATTCAAATCTTAGGGGAGTGAGGCTCGGTTCAAAGGCCCAAAGCTCCCTGGCCTCCTGCAGTCGCTCTGGCCAGTGGTTTCCTCCTGGGCCTCTAAGGCCAAGCAGCGGAGCCAAGGCTTCTAACTGGCAGCCAGACAATCTGGACCCAAAGACCCAGAACTCAAGGTGGTCTAGATTTACCTGGCTGAACACCACAATCCAGAAATGAGCTCCTGGCCTTGCATTCCTGGGCCGCACCGGCAAAGTGTGCTGCATCAGGGTGGAAAGTCTGTGTCATCTGTTCTATTTTAAACCACTCGAGAGCTGACTTTTAGGAAATGCTAAATGACCGGTTCCGGAAGAACTTCTGCGCAGAATACAATAGGCTTTTCACATAATTGTTGTTTTCTTTGCTCAGGAGCACAGTGTTTTCCAAGCATGCCTTTCCTCTTCCACTTAACCATAGTTTCCTCTCAGATTCCTACGGTCTGTTTTGCACAAAGTCCCACAAACATACAGATGCTATTTGATGCACTTTATATTAGTGCAGTTTGCTTTCTGGTTGAGATGAGCAGGGGACGAGGCTCCATGAAGTCTAAAGCTTTGTCCTTAAAAAAAAAAATCAAGCAGAAAATGTAACTGACATGTAATATTTGTACAAACATATGTGTATTGTTCTTGCCTAGTTCATCATCGGGGTCTAGTACCAGAGTGGTGTCTGACTGAGCAGGAATTTAGGAGCTCTCTGTCTCAATGTCTCACTTACTATGACAACTTGACTGGATCTAGACTCCTAGGGAACACACCTCTGGGTATGTCTGTCTGGGAGTTTCATTGAGCATTAACTGAAGAGAGAAGACACACCCTGAATGTGGGCTACAGCATACTACGGGGAGGGGCGCTAGGCTGAATTCATCTTTCTCTGCTTTCTGACTGTGGATGCAACAGCACAAGCAGCCAGACTCCTGCTCAATCTCTCCTCTCATCTCCACCCCTCCAGCCAGGACAGACCATGCTCAAGTCCTAAGCCAAAACAAACTGTTCCTCCATAAGATGATTTTGCCGTATTATGTCACATGACAAGTTACAAATACACATTTAGGCCAGGCTGATCATATGCTGGTCATCTGTGCCCTATTGGTCCTAAGCACAGTTGCTTGTCTCATCTGATTCCTGCAGTTCTACGAGTCTGCATGGGGAAACTGAGGGTTAAAGTCATCCAGTGATGTGATTTATCCCAGAGTCCTCTGGCTCTGAAGTCTGTCACCGTAGTTGCTATGTTCTTTTGTCTCTGATTGCTAGGGTGCCTTCTTAAGGGCAAGCACATTGCTTACTTGTTTCTAGAACATACAATGTGCAGAGTGGTGTTTGTAACAGTGTCTCACTGGAGGTGTAAGTATCTGTGGACTGGAAAGTTCTATGGATTCTGAACTAGATGCAGAACTAAGGCTACTCTCAGGGATAGGAAGGCTTTGACCAAGAGTCAAGTTTACCTCCCTATGACGTGAAAATTCTTATGGTCCAAGTGTTTCCACAGTGCTTTTTATCCCTTACCTGTTTCCCGCACCTAAAGCAGCTCATGTAGGCAAGAAGCCTGCCTGGTTCAGTTTTTTTCCCTCCCTCCCTCCTTCCTTCCCTCTCTCCCTCCCTCCCTCCCTCCCTCCCTCCCTCCCTCCCTCCCTCCCTCCCTCCTCCTCTCTTCTTCCCTCCTTCCCCCCCTCTTCCCCCTTTGTAAAATTTTATTTCTTTGTTGAGATATGGTCTCATGTTCTCTGGATTGTCCATGAACTTGCTGTACAGCTGAAGATGATCCTCCTGCCTCTACCCACCGAGTTCCAGCATTACAGACATGTGCATCACACAGGGTTCTCCTCGTTTCTTTCTCCCTCTACCACATCCCCCTTCTCCATATCCCCTTTTTCTTGATCTGTCTCTCTTTCTATAGAGTCCCATTATGACACCCCGGGTCCATAGCTGAGGTTGGCCTTGGCTTCAAGACCCTCCTGCTCAGCTTACCCAGGTCTGGAATAATAGGCCTGCGTCACCCTTGCCAGCCTTGCTTGCTTGTGGTTCTCTAGAAGGTCAGCACCTAGCATGGTCACTTCTTGGTTCTCCTTGACTGCTTTCTCATTGGATATGAATTCGTTGGCGGTTCAGGGAGGCTTGTTGTACTGGGGTACTCTTGCTAAACACTGAATTTTAGTAACATTTCTGTTCTCATGCTTTTCTACAACTCTTCTTCTTCTTTGGAAGAAGCACTGAAGGAACACAGACACAACGATTCACAGAAAATCATTTTTTTTTAACTTCTTCGGAGACTTCTCTAGATTCTTGCCTGGGTCCTACTGTTGTTTTGGTCCAGCTACACTCTTCCTGTACTTGAGGGATTTCAAAGCAGTCATTTGGACTTGTTTCAATTTTTTCTAACCTATCTATTTATTTTTTTTTCCAGAGGTTAAGAACATTTTGTAAATTCACAAATACCAAAAAGTATTTTCCCCAGTGAAATAGCTTTAAAGAGATCAGATCAAATTCAGAACGTTTCCCGAAGGAAAGGAAGGTCACACAGAGGTCGAATGATTAGCTGAAACAATAAAGCAAAAGAACGAAAATATCCCTCTGAACCAGTTCCTAAGGTATGCTACTTTCCACTGCGAAGCATTGGCTAATTTGTGCTATTTTCTTTCTGAAACAGCTCTGGTGGGAAAATGTGAACCGGGTCTTCTGTATATTCTCACTAACATTCTTCCGCCCCAAACATACTGCAGTGAATTCAGGCATTTGTATCCCCAGTATGTTGCTAGACTTTTTAGAGGCCAAAAGGGCCTCTGTATCTTTGTAGAGAATGACCACAAAGCCAGTTTCTTTCTGGTTTGAACTTTACTCTGTTAAGCGGTAGCTTTCATGGTCTCAGGATCTATGTTCATAAGCAAGTCCATCGGGAAAGGTTTGCAACCCTAGGAAGAGTGAAAGCCACTAGTGACTTATCTGATTTTTATCCCCCACCTGCTCTGAAGGTACTGAAGCTCTGAAACTGAGAAATCTGATAAATAAATGTTTCTCGCACATTGACTATGTACAAAGTCAAACCTCCCTTTGGGATATTCTCTAAGTAATGGCAAGGATATCGGGGCTTAGGCTGGGCAACTAGTTAGGGACACTCTTCCTGTAAATCCCTGACAGGAATGAGTTCCTGCCAGCTTGTAATTCTTTTCAATGTATTTTAATTGGGTAAGAATTTAACTTACACTCAAACCTGTCATATTTTGTAGTTAATGCAGTAAGATCTACCATATAAGATTACTCATTTAGCTTAACCAATTACATTATACTTTTGTTACTACAATTATTATTTTAGACAGAATCTCAGGATGTACACAAACTCATTATACACTTAGAATGCCTTTGAATTCCTAATCCTCCTGCCTCTACCCCCCTAGTGCTGGATTACAGGCATTTACGACTATGCCTGGTTTTATGTAGTGCTGGAGATAGAGCCCAGGGCTTTGTCAACTTTAGCGCAAGTACTATTATCAACTAAGCATATTCCTGGCCCTAATTCAAACTTCTTATGATGGCTTCCTAAGAAACTTCTCCATGCTTCTCAGACTTGCTTTTATGTACTGGCATAAGTCAATTTAAAATTACTGATTGATTTATTCTTGTACTCGCACTAGCTGGAATGAGGGACTCTGGAAACTATAAATGTATATGAGTGCTAGTAGTTGAAGCAACAATAACATACTAGTGAAATTAGTAGCACTAGAAAATTGGCAGATAAGGCGTATTCCATCCTTTCTACCAAGGTAGGCATCTCATTTACCTCAACGACTGCACCGTTCTGGAGAAGAAACCAAGGCTCAGCGTGACAAAGCAGGCTACTGACGTCACAAACAATGACAGGGACGAAACGAGAAGAAGCAATTTCTTGAAAATGCGGCAGAAATGGGGAGGGGAGCAACCTGGGTATTGTTTCAATCTCCCATTTTTACTGTTTTGTTGTCTGTGTTTTGCCTACATATATGTCTGTGCACCTATGCATGCCCGTGGAGAACCTAAGGGGCTGTGGGATGCCCTGGCACTGGGGGTACAACTGGTGGTTAGACACTATTATAGGTTCTTACGGCGGTTTGAATAAGAAATGCCTCCCTAAGCTCAGGTATTTAGCCACTTTGTCTCCAATTAGTGACCCTGTTTGAGGTGCAAGTTGCTGGAGGGTACTGGGAATCAAACCCGAGTCTTCTGGAAGAGTAGCTCATGCTCCTAAAGGCTGGGTCACCTTTCCAACTCCAGTTTCCTGCTTTTAGTTGGACAACTTTTCTTCTCTATAGCTTGCATATGAACTGTTTCCCATAGGCTTGGTTTGGAAGGCTGGTCTCCAGGGATGCTGGAAGTTGGAACCTTTAAGAATAGGGACTGTGTGATGGCATGAAGGATACTGGGGGCTTGTCTCTGGAGGTGTAATGTGGTTTGTTCACTTCTCCTCGCGTCTTTTTCTCCTTGGCCATGAGATGAATAATTTTGCTTCACCACACCCTCCAGTTATGATATGCTGTCTTGAGATAGAGCCAAAAGCAAGGATCAGCTGACCATGAATTGAGAAAACCGTGAGACAAAACAAACCACTGTTCTATGTAAGTTGTTTATCTCATGTATTTGTTATAGTGCTGAAAAGATGATTAATATGATCTTCCATTTTAAACTTGTAGTGGTTATAGTTTATTATTGTGATTGTTTTACTTATTTTCAAATTTATTTACTTTTTAATTATGTATATATGTGTGTGTATCTGCATGAGTTTAGGTGCACATGAGTCCAGGTCAAAGGCATTAAATCCCTTTGGAGCTGGAGTTATGGGAGACTGTGAGTCATCAAACTGAGTTCTAGGAAACAAATTCAGGTCTCTAGAGGATAACTTTGTACTCTTAACACTCAAGTGTAGTCAGAGGCTCCTTGTTCATTTCTCTGCTGCTCAGACCTGAGGTAATCACTTAGAAACTGTATTAATTAAACACTGTTTGGCCTATTAGGCATATGGCTAGCTAGCTCTTATATCTTAAATTAACCAATTTCTATTATTTTATATTTTAACATGAGGCTTATGGTTTACTGGTAAGGTTTCTGGGTGTCTGTCTCCTTTGGTGGCTACATGGTATCTCCCTGACTTCATCTTTTTTTCTCTTCTATCTCTGTTTGGAATTTCTGCCTTACTCTATTCTGCTCTTCTGTAGACCAAAGCAGCTTTATTTATGAACCAATAAAAGTAACACATATACGAAAGGCCTTTCCACACCATTTCCCCTTTTCTGTCTAAATAAGAAGGAAAGTTTTAACTTTAACATAGTAAAATTACATACAACAAAACAGTTATCAAGCAAGAATTATAGTTCAATATTTAGTCCATTTATATTTGGCAAATATAATTTTCTTTCTTCAACTCTTCAAAGACCCCAGAGGGTGCTAATATTACCTAAGTAAACAGGAAGTACATTGTAAGCAAATTCCAAAATTCTAGAATTGACAGAGACATCTGGCTTCATGGACAGTCACCCAAAGTTCTGTACTGTTGGGGCATCCATCTTCAACCTATAGGTCCATAGTATCTGGCAGACTTTTCCATGAAGCAAGAAATTTGAAGATTTCTTATGCTTTGTACTGGCAAAGTTCATTAGTTGCTTTTTTCCTGTGTCCTGCAAAATGTCTGGCAGTTCTCTCACGAAGCAGGAACCCTAAAGGACCATTTCACCTTCTTTTGGCAAGTTTAGCAGTCATTTTTCTGTGGGTCCTGCATGTCTAGTTCATACAACATACCATCAAGCAGTCCAGGCAAGAGCAGTTTGCCCAAATGGCTAAAACACTCCATAAGGGTAAGGAGCCTTTTCAATGTCCATCTTTCCCTTAAAGTAGATTGGTACTGCCAGGAACAGATGTGTCTCATTGTCATAAAAATTCCTAAGTCCTTAAAACATCTTAATGCCGGGACCGGGCGGTGATGGCGCACACCTTTAATCCCAGCACTCGGGAGACAGAGGCAGGCGGATCTCTGGAAGTTCGAGGCGAGGCCAGCCTGGTTTACAAGAGCTAGTTCCGGGACGGGCACCAAAGCTACAGAGAAACCCTGTCTCGAAAAACCAAAACCAAACAAACAAACAAACAAAAAACCAAAAAAAAAAATCAAACCAAAACAAACCAAACCAAAAAAACTTAATGCCATATTGTGTTAGTTTTTGAGAAGTTTGAAGAATACCTATCCATCTGAAATATATCTCTGCATATCTAGAAAACCTAAATAACATGACTACAAGCTTGACTAGTATGGATGGCTATTTATTAACCTGTATTTCTTTTTTTTTAAAGACATACTAATTTTTTTTATTATGTATACAATATTCTGCCTCCATGTGTGCCTGCAGGCCAGAAGAGGGCGCCAGATCTCATTACAGATGGTTGTGAGCCACCATGTGGTTGCTGGGAATTGAACTCAGGACCTTTGGAAGAGGAGGAAATGCTCTTAACCTCTGAGCCATCTCTCCAGCCCCTAACCTGTATTTCTTAATTATACATTTTTAAATGAGCTGCACAAACACAATACCTTAAACAAGAGCAGAAATACATGTAACAAAATTGACCTTAAATTTGTATCACTAAACCAAGATCCATACCAATGCAAAGTATTCATCTCTACAGCGCTCAAGTCATCTATCTGGTCCCTAAACCCTTCCTACTTTAAGTTGCTTTTGTGAGGGATTTTGTCTCAGTAGCAAGAAAAGTACCTACATGAAATTAGGAGTCGAGGGAAAACCCTTTCCTGTTGCTTACGGAGATAGTTTGCCTGTGTCTCGTCATTCATAACCACTGGGTCGTATGACCTTTTGAAGTAAATCATCTGCAAAAGGAAAAGAAACCATCATAGCACCGCCCAATCAAAACTCATCTAGAATTGGGAACATTGTTGTCGAGCAAAGCAAGATTCTGCAAGCAGATAGGCGTTGGCTAATACTTTCCAATACCATCATGCTGCATCCTCTTGAGACACCAGGAAGGCACGGCAGGAGGCACAAAGGCTCCTAGTGATATTCAGTTTTTTCAATGCAACTATTGATAATCTTAGAAGTTAGGATTTCAGTTCCTGTGTTCAGTGGAAGCTAGCTAGAACTCCAAAGGACAAGGGAGGTAAATAAATATTTAAGGAAGAATGAGAAGGAATCATCTCAACCACTTATGAATAATGTGATTAGTCTTTGTAGTACTTTTTATGTTTATAAGTAACATTCAATTGTTGTGGGGAGTGAATACATTGTACTGTTGTTATGAGTATTCATAACACGAGTATAGCCATGTCAAGACCCCAAAGCCTCAGACCCACAGAAATAGATCAGTCTCACGGAATGGCAAAGCCTTTCCCTTAGTGAAGGTGTTGACAGTATGCACACAAAGTATCAATCACAACTTCCTCCTTTGACTGCCCGAGATCACTCTCCTCCAGAGAACTCCTATCAAGATTAGCTAGCCTGCCCCCAATATTGTTCATATATTGTTCATAATGAACATGCAGAGTTTCTGGGCTGCTGGAGCAGCTTCATCAGAGTGCACCGCCAGCCAACCTCAGCTGTTCTGCACAAGTGTCTGCCATCTCTTCATTCCCCATCACTCCAGTCAGGTCAATCCCAAAGCCATGCAGGTTGCTGCCAGTTGTGGTATTAATAACTCTTGGCTCAGACATTGTGTTGAGCACTTTGTACACCAAGAAAAACACTTTGCTTGGCCAAGTGTCAGTCAGGTTTTTGAAATTTGTAGGTTTACCTGGCATTTTTGTATAAAACCCAGCTTTAGCCAAGAATCCTACTGAGCGAGTGTAACAGAAGTCCTCTGTTTAAACTCCTTTGTATCTAGTCACCCTGCACAGCTGACTTTGCTCCTCATCATCCGCCATCCCCGAGTGTCACATCACCCTGGTTTGTCTTCAGCAAGGATCCTATTAGGGCGGTTCAGACAGAAACTCACCATGATGATTCTGCTCAGCAGTTTTCCATCACTGACTGCCATTTTGTACCTTGGCCATTGACTTACACTTGTTCATTCTGTATTCAGAGTGAGCCTGGTCTCCTCCGTTGCTGCAGGAATTTTATTTTTATGACACGGAGGCTTATTCTTAGTTATAAATGCCTGGCCATAGCTTGACTTGTTTCTAGCCAGCTTTTCTTTCTTTCTTTTTTTTTTTTTTTGTTACTGCATCTACCTTTTACCTTTGGTCTTGTATCTTTCTCTTACCTCTGCAAATCTTACTTTCACTCTTACTCCCTGTTTTGCTGTGTAGCTGGGTGGCTGACCCCTGACGTCATCCCTTTTTTCTCTTGCTTTTTCCTCTCCAGATTACTCCTCCTATTTATATTCTCTGCCTGCCAGCCCCACCTATCCTTTCTCCTGCATTGTTATTGACTGTTCAGCTCTTGATTGGACCATCAGGTGTTTTACACAGGCAAAGAATCACAGCTTCACAGAGTTTAACAAATGTAGCATAAACAAAAGCAATACACCTTAAAATAATATTCTACAACACCCCCGCTCTGCCAGACCCCTCAGCTGTGCCTCCTCTACCTAGCACCAAGGTCCTGAAGAAAGTCTTTGCTTGTTTTAGGAAGTGTCATCAAACATCTGTTTTCCTCAACACTGTCATTTGAGTTTCAGTCACCTTGGAAACAGTGTGTCTGTCATCTCTCGGGCTACTCCTAGGTGCAGGGATTTCCCTACAAAGGCTCATATGACTAGGAGCTATTCAGTTTTTGTTCTGGACAGTAAAAAGATACACTACACCTGTCAAAAGGACACAACATTCCAGCGCTGAAGTCTTCCCTCTGAGGAACTGCACAGTGTGCAATAGCTTAGTCCCTCAGCAGTGAGCTGAGACCACACACACACACACAAACACACACACACACACACACACGCATGCAGGAAGCTCACCTGAACCTACAAGGCCTGGTTTGTTCACTGAAGGTTTTTCACATAGATGGACCACAACCACCAAAGCTCCAGACTTCTAGCAGGCAAACCGGTGTTTACCATCCATCACATTGTTTACAAAACTGTCCAGACAGACCAGTACAGTTTGCTCAAGTCTCCCAGTGTGCAAAACAGTCTTTGTTCTTGGGACATTCTAACAGTTCAGTATTCGGGAACTGGCCACAGGCCACGAACACAAACCCGCGTGGGTGATGTGCTAGATTTGAGTAGCTCAGGCCTGCGGAGTCGACTCTTTCCTGTGCAGGACGATCTTGTTGACATGCTCATTAGACAGATGAAGCACAACAGAAGTTCGTTGTCACGCTTTTGCTGCTATGACAAAATACTGCGACAAAAGCAACGTAATGGAGAAAGGGTTTATTCGGGCTCACAGTTCCAGGGTATGTCTCCTGTATTGCGAGGTCATGGCCACAGGAGCGTGACGGGACTGGTTACACATTGTCCACATTCACGAAGCAGAGAATAAAGGGGCTGTGTTCAACTTCTCTTTTTAACACAGTCTAAGTTTCTCAGCCTAGAGAGTGTTGCCACTCATAGTGGGTGGCTTTTTAAAATGAAATCTCAATTAACCTAATCAAAATCATTCCACAGGCATGCCTAGAGGCTTATCTTTGAGATGGTTCTAGAGCTCATCAAGTTTCCAGTTAAGGTTAACAATCACAGTAATCTCCTCAGCTACATTGAGAAAATGGCGGAAGTCAGACCTTACATCTGGGTGCCAATGCCCAAGCTGGCAGCTGTTATGGAAGAATGTCATTCACAAAGATACTCAGTTCAATATATGCAGCCACTTGTCCATAGCAGAACAGTCCATCGGAATTGTTTTTTTGCCTTGCAGTAGGATGATTAATGAAAGGAGACTCATACTCCAAATTTATAACGTTCCAAGAAAAAGTGTCCGAGGAAATTCTTTAGAATATATGCACCTTCTATTATAGATAGAAGGTAATGAATCCATAGAGCAAATAGTGAAGAGGCAATGGCAGCTCCAATTCTCCATGCCTGTCTCTGTGACAAGCATATGTCATTTGGTTAAATAACTCATGGTATGGAATGGAATACTATGAATCATTTATAGAGGACTATAACAGGTTAATTCATGCCAATATAGGATTATCCAAAGCATTTTAAACAGAGGAGCATTGTGAAATGTGATTGTGTTTGTGAAAAAAGAGAATCATTCATTCATGATCAATGTGTGCATGAAATGACATATATATATACACATATCTGTGCAAGCATAGAATGTCTAATAAATGGGTGCTAAATGTTGTAAAACCAAGGAAACTGAAGGAATCAAATGAATTCATATTCATGTTCATAGAGTTGGATCTTTTTTGAAAAAATCAAATATTTATTTGGCAATTAGAATGTTGCCATTTACCCCCTAAGCACTTTCTGCTCCTATTATGAGCGAAGAAAATAAAGATCACTGCAACAATCATCTTTAATTTTCAGATTTACACAACTTAGAACACCTGGGAAGAGAATCAATGTGGGATTTTTTTTCACATTGGGTTACTGGGCAGACATGTGGGCATAGGGGATTGTCTTAAGAAGTGAAAGATGTGGGAAGACCCAGCCCACTACGAGTGGTACCATTCCCTAGGCAAGGCATCCTGAACTGTATGAGTAGAGAAGTCAAGCTGAGCATAAGCAACCAAATAAGCAAGCAAGCAAACAAACAAGCAAGCATCCTTTCCCCTCTGGATGTGATCTGGGCAGCTGTCTCAAGTTCAAGAATAGACTGGAACTGTAAGCTGGAATAAATTCTCCTCTAAATTGCTTTTTATATGAGTGTTTTATCACAGCCACAGAAATGAAACTATCACATTCAGTGGAGTAAGATGCTTACATTCCTGTTGCTGAAAGCAATGGAGCCAGCATAAGAACCCTGGTGGTCTAGCCCTAGAACATGAGCTGCTACTTAAATTGTGTGCAGTTACTACTGCCCACAAATCAAGTAAAATGAAGTTAAAAACCTCACCAAGTTGAGCCAAAAAGATGACCCTCAGGGTTTCTAGCACTGGATACTCTTCCAGAAGACTTGGTTCATCCCAAACCACCACACAATAACTCGCAACTGTCTGTAATTTTAGCCTAGGGGATCTAACACCCTCTTCTGGGCATCAGGTATAAGACGTGTATGTGGTATACAGACACACATGCAGTCAAAACACCCATACATAGTAAATATGTTGAGTACGAGATAAAAGCTTATTGAGTGAAAAATTTCAAAATTGCAGATCCAAGAAAGGTATATTTTTATTCATCCTTGCTCAGCTGGGAAATCAATTTTTCCTTTATGGTTAAAATTCTGGACTGCACTTGGTAAATCATTCATAGATTTTTTTTCTGGTTAGTTTTAACAGTCATCGTGATACAATGTCATGTCACCTGGGGAGAGTCTTAAGGACGAATTGGGTAGATCAGTTTGACCTGTGGACATGTCGGTGTAGGACTGTCTGGATTGTTAATTGATGCAGGAAGCTCAGTTCATGGTGGCCCACACCCCTAGGCTGGACCCAGAACTGTGTAACAGTGGAGCAGGCCAACAAACATCTGTGTGTTTATGTGCTCTCTGCTCTCGGCCGTGAATGTGATGTGATTACTGAGGTCCTGCATTGACTTCCCTGAAACGATGAACTGTAACACAGAACTGTAAGCCAAACCAACCATTTCTTCCATACATTGCTCTTTGGTAACAGGCTTTTATCATGGCAACAGAAACGAAAACAGAGTAGTCTGAGATATGTCCGAAGACTTGTTTTTAAAAGATATTGAAAATATGCAAATACCCCTGCTAGGCACCATCACACCAGTCTGTTCAGGTCTCTGCTGTCATGTCGTTAGTGGTTGCCTTTAGCCACCGTGCTACCGGCCTTGAAAAGATGTGATGTCATATTTGGAGGGTGTGGTTGTGTGACATGGGGCACGTTGAGCTCTTGGTCCATAGGCAAAGCTGGCTCTAACTCTGTGCTTTCATTTTCCCCTTTATATCCTCCCAACCCAAACCTCCTTGGTCTATTCCTTATAGAACAGAAAATCCAAGGCATGAAGTTAAGACAGAAAGAAAACATGCCTGCATAAAAGTAGCCCAGGGACTGCAACTAAAAGGCCAATATTAATGCCTTGCTGGTAGCATAACCTTGAATGAGTTTACTGTTTTCTGAGTCTATATTTTCTATGAGTCAAATCCAAATGTCTGCTGATGAAGTTGTCAGGGTCAGATGAGAAGACATATTGAAGTAACCAGTTCGATGCCTACTGCGTGGCAGATACCTTCATGAATGAAAATGTTTTTAGCTCAAGATCTCACGTGTGGTTGTCACTTAGAAAATAGGAACAGAACGTTAATGTGAGTTTCTCAGAATGAGCCTCTCAATTCATAGCTGCTGCTTAATTGTGTGGATCAACAAATGAATAGTTATTATTGGTGTAGCCATCTATAGGTAGTCCAGTACTTACATGTTTCATCTTCTAATGACGAGTAAGTGGGACAGGCTGAGAATCCAGAGTATTAACATTGTCACGAGACTAGGTAAGTTAATGGTTTCTGTGGGAACATGATGTTTTAAGAGAGTTTAATTCCTGCAACGTATTGAATTCAGAACAGTTTCCCTCCCAATTTATATCACAATATAAATTCCTTGTAATAGAGTCTGCCCTCAACTCAGTGATTCATTTATTTTATTAGTGCCATAAAATTTGGGGTCAAGAACGCGCCCCAGTGATTTTCCTTCTGGCTCTCATTACTAAGTATTTACATCAGCGGTAAGTGATCCGCTTGGCGAGTCAGAGATAGACAGAGAGGATGGGAACGGAAGACCCCAGGTGGCAGGGCACACACGAGACAAATCCCGATTGTCATTTCCTCTGTCAGTCTTGCCTTGCGATCCTATCGCCGTCCCCACATCCTGCAGCTTGACTGTGCGTCTTTGTAAGACTCCAGAATGTTTGTCCTACGATGTGAGATCTTGTGTCTTTGCCAGGAAAGGATGCTGAAGTCTAGCCCTGATAATTAGGCGATGACTCCTAGGAAAAATGCCCGGTGTCTGCACTCTATGCTGGTTTATGATGAAAAACTGTACCCAAAAGTCTTACCCATAAGACTTCTGTTGTTTTACAGAGTGAGAGTACTACATAAATACACGGTCCTGAAAGCAAAACAAAATACAAGCTAAGTTCTCCTTAGCAGTTTGTTACTAAATTAAGTCTGCTCACTTGTAAATAAGACGTTCTAAAGGTAAACAACTTTAGTGTACACATTACATTAAAAAAAAAGAAAAGTCTGGACTAGGCAGAGTCTTCTC